GGGCCTGCTCGCAAACGAGAGGCTTCTTCAAGGTTTAGATAGGTAACAACAAACATGCTTGAAAACGAGGTGTCTGCTGACCTTGGGAGAACTTGCCTGCAAACGGGATGTTCTGCCAAGTGGGCTAGGAGGGCACTGAGAAAAATTTTTTTATCTGTTCTAAACAAAGAGCAGAGCTCAGCACACTCCAGGCCGAGAGTAGATTAGCCATGAGAAGCGGGTCACTTCTGATTAGAAAGTAAAACTTCTGTGTGCTATGTTTAATTAGCTGAAAGACCTGATTTATTGAAGTTGGAAGGCTGCCTTTTTTGTTCACAATACTATAAAAAGATCGCTTGTACACAATAAAGGACTTTTTTTCTGCTGCTGCTTTGCTTGCTCTGCTTCTTCTTCTTCTTTGTTTTCCCATGCTGACCTGCAAATGAATTATTGCAACAGTGGCTCAATTGCTAAGTGCCCCTGGGTTCAATCTCTGGTACCAAAAAAACAAAAACAAAACCCAAACAACAACAAAAAATCCGGATGTAGGTTTTGTCTCCTGAGTTAGTGATAACCCAGAGAGGTGAGACATGACATGGAAGAACAAACCTCCTGCATTCTAAGTCCTGCTCTGCCTCTAATTCTATAATTCTGCATGGAACCTTGGGCAAGTTCCCTCCGAAGACCTCAATTTCTCCATATTTAAATAAGAATCTGGAAATGAGATCATTTGATCTCTTTCACTATCCTCTTTCCCCCAGCTATGTGACCATGAACATTTATAGAAGTTTTATTCATAACTACCCAAAACTAGCAACTACCTGCCTTTCAGCTGATGAATGAGCAAATTTCTACATATATACATGGAAGTTACTCAACAGCAACAAGGAACAAGCCACTCAAAGCAACACCATGGACCTTGAATAGGCTAAGCCAAGTGAAAGATGGTTCACATAGTCACATAGTCACATAGTCAAAAGACTATGTTCTGGACTGGGGTGTAGCTGAGGTTATAGGCCTTCACCACCACACCTGGCCTATCACTGTTACTTATTTTTATTTATTTTTTTTTTAATTTTGAGACAGGGTCTTACCGAGTCACTTAGGGTCTCATTAAGCTGCCGAGGCTGGCTTTGAACTGATGATCCTTTAGCCTCAGCCTCCCGAGCTGCTGGGATGACAGGCATGCGCCACTGGGCCTGGATATCACCATTATTTATACAACCGTACAGCAAAACGCTGACCACTCAGAACAGAGGCCCTCCATAAACAAGTGAGGCAGCTGTGCTGGTAACTCCAGCCACAGTTCATGGTGAGGTGCTGAGACCTCAGATGCCAAATATAAGATCACTTTAGAAGTGGAATCAAGAGGGGCCTGGTGACTGCCTGAAATTTGGAATTAGGGGAGAGGAGATAAAGAGGCTTGATGAGTGGGAGGCAGTAGTGACACCCAGAGGCACTGAAACAAGGACAGCGGCAGCAGCAGCAACTAGCATTTATATAACACCTCAGATGTTCATCTAGGTCACAAGATTTTATTTTATCCTAAATTGGTGCCACAAAACAGGTATTATTAACTAGATTTTACTAAGGCCTAGAAATGTTAGGTGACCTTCCCAACGTCACACAGTGAGTAATTGGCAGAACGGAGATTTAAAACCCACATGGTCCCAACTGCTTTTTTTTTTTTTTTTTTCAGTTGCAGTTGGACACAATACCTTGATTTTATTTATTTTTATGTGGTACAGAAGATCGAACCCAGGGTCTTGCACGTGCTGGGCGAGCACTCTGCTGCTGAGCCACAACCCCACCCAGCCTCATTCCCAACTCTTAAAAAAGCTTTTCCTGCCAGGTGCAGTGGCACATGCCTGTAATCCTAGTGGCTTGGGAGGCTGAGGTAGGAGGATCACAAGTTCGAAGCCAGCTTTGGCAACTCAGTGAGGCCCTATCTCTAAATAAAATAAAAAATAGGGCTGAGGATGTGGCTCAGTGGCTAAGTATCCCTGGGTTCAAAAAGTTTTTCCCTCACTGGGCAAAATCACAGTGGCACATGCCTATAATCCCAGTAATTTGGAGGAGGACTATAAATTTGAGGCCAGCCTCAGCAACTTAGCAAGTCCCTGTCTCAAAATAATCAACAAATAAAACAACACAACAGGCTGGGGATGTAGCTCAGTGGTAAAGTGTCCCTGGGATAAATAACCAATACCACACACACACACATAAAAAAAAAAAAAAAAAAAGTCGGGGGTGAGTCCTCAGCTCGGGCCTGTCACAAAGCTTGAAGACAGGCCTTTACCTGACCAGAGCCAACAGCTGGCAGGATGCAGGGAGCAGGGCAGCAGCAATGACTACTGGCCTGGTCTGGCTTCCCCAGCAACTTTGCTGTGGTTCTAGTTTAGGCAGCCCCAGGCACTTACTTTTTCTTTAAGACCAGGAACTTGTTGTTTTGCATTATGCATTCTCGGTTATTTGAGATCTGCTGAAAGATGGTCTTGTTGCTCTTGCCCTGGAAGATGATGTTCTCCTGTACTAGGGCCTTGGCGCGGCCCCGCACTGCGATGCCATAGGCTCGGAATGAGTGGATCCGGTTCTTTAGTACCTGAGAAGTAGCCAGAGCTTGTCACACCTCAGAGACTCACAGTGGGGGGAACCAGGCAAGCGAATGATCAGTTATAAAACCAAGGGGTACAAAGCTGGGTATAGCGGTGCAGGCTTGTAATCCCAGCTACTCGGGAGGCTAAGACAGAGGGTTGCAAGTTCTAGGACATCCTGAGTAACTTAGTGAGAACCTGTTTCAAAAAATATATATATTTTTAAAGGGCTGGGGTGAAGCCCCGTGGTAAAGGACTTGCCCATCATGAGTGAAGACCCCCATTCCTAACACTGCAAAAGAACAAACCCTTCAGGGGTTTGAGTATGCTAGGTAGGTCAGCACAGATCCACGGGAGCTCAGAAAAGGATATGGAGATCAGCCTGGGGGAACCTGGGAAGGCTTCTTGGAGGCGGTGATAGTCAGTGTGGAGGAGAGGAGAGGTATCCAGGAAGAGGGAACAATGTGCAAAGGCCTGGAAACAGGGGATATTGGTGCCAGAAGCCAGGGCCACTGGCCACCCAACTGAGGCAACAGTGAGCCCCACCTCCCTTCCATCACTCCCACAGACCTCAGATGCAAAGTCAAAGAATTCCTTTTTTTTAAATATATATATTTATTTTTTAGTTTTCGGTGGACGCAACATCTTTATTTATTTTTTTATGTGGTGCTGAGGATTGAACCCAGCGCCCTGCGCATGCCAGATGAGCGCACTACCGCTTGAGGCACATCCCCAGCCCAGGAATTCTTTACTCTTTGCTTAAGTCATCGACTCATGGAGCTGCAGAACTGAAAACCACCTTTGGGATTATAATTCTGCAAAGGTAGGGACTGCATTTGTTTAGCTCAACAGGGAAACCCTTGCACTCAGCACATTGCTTTGCATAAAAGTGCTCAGAGTTTACAGACTTGTGGGGAGACAAACAGGTAAAGGAACAGATATGGAGCACTGTGGGTAGTGCTGTGTGAGGCAGGGGTGGGCATAAGTACCACAGAAGTCCGGAAAAGGGGCCCTTCAAAGGCCTGGGGAAATCAGGGAGTCTTCATGAAGAAGGCAACATCTAAGGTGCACAGCTGAGGTAGCACAGAAGGTAGAGGGACTCTCAGTACACAGATAATAGTGCATGCAAATGCCTGGAGGCAGGATTTCTCTCCTCATTAAGTACCTACTGGATAACAGGATCTGTACAAGATTATTCTGTTAGGGAAGGCGATCTTAATCTGGAGACCATGAAGATACGTTGATACCTCAGGAAGCTTCCAACTCCATGAGTACAGGAGATGACATCCCCATTCCTGGCTTTTCTTTATTTTTAGGTACTGAGGATTTGAGGGACAACTCAGCTCCTTTTATTTTGAGATAGGGTCTCATTAAGTTGTCCAAGCTTGTGATCCTCTTACCACAGCCTCCTGAATTCCTGGGATTACAGGTGTGTGTCACTCTGCCCAGTTCATTTCTGGCTTTTTGGGAGGAGGGCAGAAAGGGTCCAGGAATTGAACTCAGGGGCACCCAACCATTGAGCCACATCCCCACCTATATTTTTAAAGACAGGGTCTCACTGAGTTGCCTAGCACCTCACTTTTGCTGAGGCTGTCTTTGAACTCGCAATCCTCTTGCCTCAGCCTCCTGCAACTGGGATTACAGGCATGTGCCACCGTTGAGTGGCCATTCCTGGCTTCTTGCAGGTGAATTGTTGTTCCAATGTCTGCTCCTGTGTAAGGCCCAACCACATCTCCCAGGCCCAGTGTGGACAGGAAGGATGATGTTCCTACAGGGCTGAATGCTTGTGGTTCTACTTCTCAGAGCACAGCATGAGCCAGAGCTGGCCCTGTGTCGGCACCACACATCAAACACATGTGCATCTCCTCACCTTAGTGTCAGACCTGGGGAGCAACTGCAGACCACTGCCCCGGTTGCCAATGATGTCATTTTCGACGACGACAGTGCTGTCGCCCTTAGTGATGATGCCATGGCCTCTGTTGTCATATATACCATTGCCCCGAAGTTCCACCTTGCACTGGGCCTCCACCTTGACCCCACTCTGGCGGTTACAGGAAATGCTGTTGTTGGCCACACGGGTGAGTTGGCCACTCTGGGCCACAGTGATACCTCTGTCCCCATTGGCGTGGATCACATTGGTGATGACTTGCAGAGCCTCGCTGCTCTGGACATAGAGTCCTGAAGCTGCAGGCAGAGGGGGAGAAAGCAGGTCAGGCCCAACAATACCCGTCAAGAAAGCCTTCCCTGAACTGGATGCGTCAGGAGAGAGATGGGGAAGAGGCAGTGACTCAGAGCTGGCCTCGGTCTCATCTTCTCAGTGAGGAGAGACAGCAGGAGGAAACCCAGGAATATCAGAAAAACTCTCCCTGCTGAAGCAAGCCCTCGTGAAAGGCAACCAGGGACACAGGCTAGGAGAAGACTCTTTGGCGCCCCTGGTAAGCTCTCAACCCAATCTTGAATGCCTCCTACAACAGCATCCTACCACTGTTTGTACCTCCTGTGACAAGGACCTCACTACCTCCTCAAGGCTGCCCATGCCACCTCCAGACAACTCTACCTGCTAGAAAGGCATTTTCTTTCCCATACTGAACTGGAATCTGCCTCTGTATTATTTTGGGACATTTTCTTCATCAGGGACATTCTATAATTTTTGAGTAGAAAAATTTGTCAAGCTAAATAATATGGGTCTAAAAAAGGTGTTAGATATTTTGGAAAGGAAAAATGGAGCTTGGGGACGGTATGCCCAGAGACACTGTATACATGTAGGACAAAGCCCAGAGCCAGCAGTAGAGCCCCTGTCTTGTCAGGGACAGAGAGCATGGCGCCAGACCTGGTGTGGGGAGGAGTCTGTGGCATTACATCTGCCCTCTGATGCAGCAAGAGAGCGGGGGTGGCAGGGTGGGGAGGGTGTGGGGAACAATGATTGGGACCCATGGAAGCAGCTGAGCTGTGAGCCTGTGAGTTTGAACCTCTCAGGGGCATCTGCCTGGAGGTTCTCCTGGCTTGGTTGAGAAGAGCAAAAATAAGTTGTGAATTATGTGGCTTTGCCTGTCTTGACGGACAGCATGACCGCATGGAGGAAACCCTGAGTGAGAGGGGACAGAACTCATTTCCCAGAAAGGTGGGCTGGGGCTGCTTGCTGGCTGTTGCTCTCCTTGTCCTCTGTGACTTCCAGATGAAAGCCAGGGATGGAGTCCTTCCCCACTGGCACCCATCAGTGATTCTTGCCCTATAAACATGTCATTGGGGATGGGAGGAGAGCAAAATTCCAAGGAGAGGATGGACAGATGTGTTCACAGTGTTCAGAAGTTCAAGGTGACTTGGGATGTCTGAATGGGAGAAGGAATTTCAGGCAAGAGGGAAGCTTGTAGGGTAGGAGGTAAAAATGTGGCAGAGAGAAGTAGCTGATGAGGTCACACTGGGACCAGTCTGCGGAGGGTCCTTAAGAGAGTGAGTTCTGCAGCTGGGGCTGGGGGCACACTCACCTCCGTTGTGATTAATACTGTTGGACTCCACAAGGGCTATGGTGAGGGGCCGCCGCAGTGGATCGTCCTCCTTCTCCAGCTCTGTCTCCCAGAGGATGGCATCCCCGTCCTCGCTGAAGTTCTCTTGGGCCCCATGGCCTCCAGGGAACTCACTGGAGCCATCCTTCTGGCTAAAAACTGCCACTCCATATAGGCCATTATAGCTCACATGGTTGCTGGTGACGTGGGGCAGGCTGGATGACATCATCCACACACCACAGCCCTTGTTAGCTGGGACAGGGAGAAGAGCTGGTTACTGATACCCAGCAACAGGTGACCCAGCACCGTGTCTCCCCAAAAGGGACGCAGAAAGGCAGCAGCCTGGAATAAGTCACTTTAGCACCCGAGGCTGTTGGCTTCTCCTTCATACAAGAGGGAGGATAATGACCAGGTCAATCTCAAGCCAGGGTCATTCCATCAGGTATAAAAGTGCGGTTAAGCCTCACCGCCAGATCAGGAACAGTGGCAGTGCCAAGCCCTCCCTGTACGGAGGGAGTAGCCCCAGTTTGAATCCCAGCCTTGCCACATCCTAGCTGTGTGACCTTGAGAAAGTTACCAAATCTCTGTGCCTCAGTTTCCTCCTAACTGTACCTTTAGAAGGCAGGCAGGATTAAATGTGATAATACATAGAAAGGAGCCAGCAGAGAGGTGGTCTGAATAAATACTATCTGAAATTATTACTAGAGAGAGAGTCCAGAAAGATTAAGGCCTTGCCCAAAGCCACAGAGTGAGGAAGAATAATTCTCTCTCTGATTATCCTGTTTTCCCATTATATTTTCAATTTTCTGGAGCAACAGGAGAGTTAGATGTGTTGGAGCTTAAATAGGCAGCCTCTTGGCATAAGCCAGCTCTTGCTTTTGCTATTTCACGTAGGGAAAAGCCTCTGCTCTGCTGACCTAGTGGGCTCAGGGTGGATTATGGGTCATTTATAATAGATACTCTTCATTCTGCGAGGCCTGAGGCAGTTCTTGTTCCTCAGATGAGGCCTCTGAGGCCCAGGGAAGTTGGTGACTTTCTCAGGACCTGTAGGCTGGAGATGGAATGTGGCTTCCTGTCTCTTTGGAGGGGCTGGACCCCAGAGCCAACCCCTGGGAACATGCTCCTCACCATAGATAGTATTTCCTTCTATTAGTCCTTTGCCTTCGTCGCCTACGACCACACCATCTGAGTAGCCAAAGCAGATGAGGTTACTCCTGAGGACAGGGATCCCTCCGCGGCGGATGTCCACACCTCCCCACTGATTCTCACGGATGACATTTTCTATGAAAAGAGGTATAAAGAAAGTTAAAACCCAAAGGTCACCTGCAGTGCTGGCAACGAGGACTCACACAGCTAAGAGAAAGGGCACCCCAGACCAGGGTGTCAGCAATCCACACCCCAGAGTTTGTCCATTGCTGCTTCAGGACCTTGTCTGCTTTCCCCAAGGGCAAGGTTTGTGTGTGTGCACTCTCATAGCCCCCACCCACTGTGCCCAGTGGCCTTGAGACCCATGAGTAAGAGCAAGCTGGCTTCCGAACCCCAGAAGTGGAATCCGGCCATTCCTGCTCAGCTTCAGCTCGACTGACTAGATCCTTCTCCTCTCTTCCCAGGAGCTATCCCCTCCTCCAGGAGTGGATTAAGAGGTCCCAAGTCAGAAGAGTGGTCCTGTACATGGCTTCTCCAGCAGGGCAGACTCGCAGCCTCCTGGGACTAGGATGCAAGGGCTCTGAAATCCTGAGTGACTGGCCCTGTTCCGTTTCTGTGTCCCCATCTCATGTCTCTCCCCCTTGCTTGCCACACTCCAGTCCTGCAAGTGATCTCTGCTCAGGCGTGCCAAATCTGTTCCCCGGGGTGACCTTGTATGGGGAGGTTTTTTTTCCCTGGCTCTTTACCATCTTCTGGGTTCTAACTGATGTTTTACCATCTCAGAAAGGCCTGCCCTGACCACACAATTGAGCAACACTTTTATCATACCTATAAAGCCCTTATCACCCCAGGCCAGTTTTATTTGTATATGTATGCTTAAACTATTCACTTGCTTTCCCCTCTAAAATGTCAGGAACTGAGGGCAGGGACAGCATCTATTTAATTCACTGCTGTATCTCCAGCTCCTAGAACAGGGCCTGCACAGTGAGTGCTCATTAAGTGGTGGATGAATGGCAGCTGGATGCAGTCAGGGAATTCCCTGGGCCAAGATCCCAGGCATGACTCACTCTGTGCTGAGCCTCCATCCACGCATCCTGCAGACTTGATCCTGGCCTTGGGGAATATGCTGCCTAACATAAGAGATGGACAAAACAAAGCTCTAAGAAATTAAATAAATGTCCTACAGAGGAGGCATCCTGGGTGCAGTGAGTATCTGTGTCTAAGAGGAGGTCAGGGAAGCCTTTCCTGAGAAGGGATGCTGGAGCTGAGACCTAAAGGATGAGCAGGTGTTGGCCAGACAGATTTCCAGAGTAGGTGGAAGCCCACAGGACATCTGACACTGGTGCTTCTGGAATGACTGTGAGGTACCCATTGAGCTACTGTCAGCTCTGGGCCTGGCAGAGAGCAGACACTCCCTCCGTGCTGTGCCACGCCCATCTCATGAGAAGCCTGGCCAGCATGAAGCCCATGACCCTGCGAGCTTGCATGGAGTGGTGTAAGGTCCTGAAGCTGGTGGGGATGATACCAGGGGACAGTGCCTTGGCTGTCCATTGTCTCTGCTAGCCATGGCTTCAGACAGTTCCCATTCCATACCTGTGATGAGGCCTTTGCCATTCTCGTTCACCGCTATGCCAGCTGCACGGCCCTTGAAGATGTGGTTCCCGCTGAAATGGAAGGCAAGTAAGACAAAGTGTAAGGCCAGGGTACCGACATCTGCTTCAAGACAATGCCTTCTTTGGTGGATTTCCCAATGGTTCAAGTTCAAAGGGGCATAAAGCAGCTCCTGAAGTCCTATAAGCCATGAATTTAGAAACCTTTGGTTGTCCCTGGGATAGCCTGACCAAAAACTCAGCCCATGACTATATAATGGAAGCACAATGATATCCAGTTCTTTGTGGTTCCTCTTTACTGTCATCTACATATAAACAATTTTAAATAGATGTCACCGTGCTGCATGGACCACAGGTAAAGTCTTGCTGGCATGAAGAATCCATAGGAGGCTGTGCTAAGCTAGTTTGGGGGTATAGGTCATTATCTCTCAATGGCAAAAAAGATGCTATGGCCTGCCTCATCCTGGCCATTTCAGGGATCTCAAACTTCATTCTGTGTCCTTGCCCAGAGTCCTGCTTCCTATTACAAAGAAACCAAAAGGGAAAAAGCACAATATATTCTCTCAAGGTGCCTTCATTTTTTAAAAACCCATGACATTGGTCTCATCATGATATTCTTCACTCAAAACTCTGCAACAGTTCCCCAGCACCATTGCACTATGAGCACAGGTTACTTTAGTAAGTTGAGCATGGTGGCACACACCTGTAATCCCAGTGATTTGGGAGGTGGAGGCAGGAGGATCACAGGTTCAAAGCTACCTCAGCAACTTAGCAAGACCCTGTCTCTAAATAAAACATTAAAAAGGACTGAGGATGTGGCTCAGTGGTTAAGCACCCCTAGATTCAATCCCTAGTACTAAATAAATAAATACATAAATAAATAAAATAAAAGTTAGTTTAATAAGTGCCTTTAACAGAAAAAAAATTATCTGCCTCATAGTAATAGGAATGGATAAAAATTTTGGAATATCAAAAAAATGGAGAGTTCTGGGGCTAGGGATGTGGCTCAAGTGGTAGCGCGCTCGCCTGGCATGCGTGCGGCCCAGGTTCGATCCTCAGCACCACATACCAACAAAGATGTTGTGTCCGCCGAGAACTAAAAAATAAATATTAAAAATTCTCTCTCTCTCTCTCTCTCTCTCTCTCTCTCTCCTCTCTCACTCTCTCTTTAAAAAAAAAATGGAGAGTTCTGAAACCTTCCGAGTGATAAATATCAAAGCCATGCAACACCTATAATGGAATAATGCTGGGGTAAAACACCTCAGATTATACCTGCTACACATTATTGCCAGATATTTTATTAAAGTGAAGACATAACCATGTGACTCTTTTGCTCAAAAACCTTTAAACATTCCCCATTATCTTGCCAGAAGCAATTTCCCCTTCCTCAGCCAGGACCCTTCCTGTCTGGCTCAAGCCTTTCTCTCCACCATTCCTTCACTGGTGGCATGACAGACAGACTGCTGCCCAGCTATAAAAGGTCATGCTGCCATGACCCCTGGGCCCAAATTTCTTGGGACAGTCCCAATTCAATATATTCTGGTGTTTTCAAGTCACAATGGACTGTCTGCCCACCCTTGGATCTGTGTTCTGCTGCCTCTTGCTCATGCTTTCCCTTTGCTAGGAATGCCCACCCCCAGCTCCACAGGGGGTGGGCATTCCTAGCAAAAGTCAACTATTTCAAAGTCAACTCTAGGGTCACCTCCAATGGGAAGCTTTCCCATATCCTCTAGTCAAAACTATTCTTTCCTTCTCTTGATTCCACTCTGTTGCCATCTTCTCCATACTATAACAGGAATGGCAGATACAGGGCCCCAATCCTAATACCTCTTTTCCCACCTGTAGCTCACATCACTAATGGATTCTAGCATGTTCTCATATGAGGCCAGATGTAGCCGTAGAATCTTAACACTGAGGCACCCGAGGTAGCCTCTATCAAGCGAGCAGAGTTGGCATGTGAGTGGAAATCTCTGTGCTATTCTCATCTTACACTGTATTTCTGCACATGCATGTCCTCCAGATTAGAGTAAGTGCCTAGTGAGCAGGGTCCACCCCTTGTTTACCTTTATTATCCCTTGTTAGAAGGGCTCAGTAATGTTTGCTGAATAGAATGCCTACACCCAGTTAACTGCAAGGAAGCCAGAAGCACAAGAGCAATCATGTTATTGGGGTGGGATATGAGCAAAGTCTCTTCTTTATTTGCATCTGTACAGTTATTGTAGTGAACAAAAAAGGTTTTCAATTGGAGGAAAAAAAGGGAGTAGGGAAACAGAAAAGAGGGAGACTGTGGACTGGCCAGACAGTGCCACTTACCTCACGATTGGGTTTCCGTGATACAGGATATAAATGCCAGCTTCCTTATTTGAAAAGATTTGGTTGTTCCTGATGACGCCTTTCCCATTGCCAAGGACAACAATGCCGGAGCGAAGGCCGTGGTGGATCTGGTTACACTGCAGGTGAAAATGAGACATCAGAGAAGATAGGTCAGACCTGTAGCAAGAAGCTGTGTGCTCAATCACTGCCCCCCGACTGCCCAGGATGAACATGGTGGAGAAAAGGTCACCAACGATCCTTATCACATGGCAAAAGGATGGGACCATGCTGCTGCCCCGCTGTTCCTGCACAGGTGCATGTATGGAAACATCGAGGGAGACTGTGGGGGGGGGGATTCTCCCCCCAGCCTCTTGGATACAGTTTCACTGGTATTTATTGCTGAGGTCTCTTGGGTTCCATTTGCAAGGCAGGCCACGGAAAGTTTCTGAGCCTCTCCAGAGTCAGGGTACCACAATTGTCCACTCAGGCCTCATCTCCCATGGCCAGGAAGCCCATGTCTCAGGGAAGGGGAGTGCCCAGGGTCAATAGAATGTTAGCTCAGAGCAGTCCAGAGGGACTATATCCAGAGAGGGACAGGAGCCATTTGGTTTTGGTCCTCATGTCTCATTCAGGAGAAGGCCTGTGGAAGGACACAAATGCTGGGGGAATCAGCTGTCCTGTGAGGGTCACAGGAAGTATTTGAGCTTCAGGACACTTAAAAGATATATATTTCTGATACTTTGTGTAAAAGGAGAAACAGGCCAGGATTTTATAGTACATTTGTGATAGAGCTAGATCTGAAACCTAGTTTTTCTGTCTTCCAGTCCAGTTAGTTGCTTTTGTAGAGGCTTAATATATATATTTTTAAATATGTATTTTTTTATTTGTAGGTGGACACAATACCTTTATTTTATTTTTATGTGGTGCTAAGGCTCAAACCCAGTGCCCCATGTGTTCTAGGCAAGTGCTCTACCACTGAGCCCCAGCCCAAGACTTAATATTTTTTACATTACAAAAAAATTACAAAAACATTGTCTCACCTTATTTCCTGAAATACAATCTCATTCTGCTCCTGCCCTTATACTGGGGATTGAATCAAGGGGCACTTTACCACTGAGCCACCTCCCCAGCCTTGTTTGGTTTTTATTTGAGACAGGGTCTTGCTAAGGTGCTGAGGGTCTCACTAAGTTGCTGAGGCTGACCTTGAACTTGGGATCCTCCTGAGTCACTGGGATCACAGGCATGTGCCACCTTGTTGGCTTAATCCCACCCTTAAAGGCTAAGTAAATCTCTTCCAAAATGATTTTATGGAGACAATAATGGAGTTTGCTTTAAAGCATTTCATGCTGCAAGCTTTCTTTACTATCACTTACTTTCCTGACACCTCCCCCCCCACACCTGGTGCTCGGGATGGAACTTAGGGCCTGCAAGGCAAGCATTCTACCACTGAGCTACACCCTCAGTCTTACTTTCCTGATTTCTGAAGGGTTTGGCAGACCCCCAGAGGCAACCACTATCTGAGAGAAGTCCCTTGAAAGCTGACAAGCTCAGAGAGTGAGGCATATGCAACAAACAGTATATCCACCCTCATCCCCACTCACAAAGCAAGGACTGAAACATGCTGTTCTGTTCTCTTCCCCCTCCACCTGCTAAGGTGATCTACCCCTTTTCCCTCTGCCTATAGGAAAGAGAACTCCTCTGATCTCTGGCAACAGTGATAGTAAGTTCCCAGGCCAAGGCAGTGCATCAGCCACCTGCTGTGTGACAGGAACAAAGCAAGTGGAGTGGTGGACAGAGGATGCTGGCTAGTGTGTCTTTTTAAAAATAGTTAGGAATTTTCCTTTCTCTATGCTGTCATTGCCAGTCTAGATATAGTGGGCTAAGAACATCAACTGAGTCAGATTGCTTGGATTCAAATCCCAGCTGTCACTGGTTATGTGGCTGGGCAAGATCCTTTTGCTCTTTGTGGCCAGTGTCTTCACTTGTAAAATGGGGATAATGCTATGTCTACTTTCCAAGGCTACACAAGGATTAAAGGAGAATTAAGTAAATATCTCCACAGTGCTTAGAAAAGTATCTGGCATACAATAAACTTTACACTTAAGGTTAGCTATTACTTTTCCAAGTGCACAATTTCTGGAAATCTGTCTCTCAGGAATGCCAGACTGAAAAGGGGGCTGGTTTCTTAGATCACTGGTCAGAAATTCTAAGATTTTTAAGTGGTTTTCACATTGGTATAAAATCAAACTCAATATGTCCTCACAACATCCATGAAACAAATCATTTTCTGAACTATATATCTTACATGCCCTCTTGATTTTATAGAAAAGAAAGAAACTAACGAGGGAGTCTTTTGGGGAGCTTGTTTTTAAATCCAAGTGTCTTTTGGAGCAGACTCTGTGTATGTATTCTTCTTTTTCTTTTGAGTACTGGATATCGAACCCAGAAGGACTTTACCAAAGAGTCACATTTCCAGCCCTTTTTTTATTTTGAGAAAGGGTCTCACAAAGTTGCTGAGGCTGGTCTCAAACTTGTGATCCTTCTGCCTCAACCTCCAGGGTCAGTGGGATTACAGTCATGTCCCACGGAGCTGGCTTTTGTGTCTGTATTCTTAAACTCCAAAGCTACCCATAACCTATCAGGGCTGTTGGGAGGGCCCTGTGGAATTTCCCTGTCCATCCCATGCTCTTCACTGATGGGGAAAGGGCAGGAAGCAACTTGTCCAAAGCCATTATAATGTATGGAAAGACAAAAAGAAGCGGAGTCACAGGACACACAGAGAGGAGCAGAAACTACCTGCAAACAGGAAGCATGTAAATTCAAGACGGCAACACTGATTTAAATATCCTCAGAAAAGATTTCTGAAATCCTTGAGAGCCAGCCTGAACAGGAGAGGAAGACAGAGGAAAGTACCAGGATGAGCGGGTTGGACTTCTTCCGAATGTCCACGCCAGCCTCTGCGTTGTGGTAGATGTTGTTGCCCGCGATCAGGCCTCCGCCTTCCAGGCGAAGAAAGATGCCTGAAGCTCGGCAGCGGTAAATGTCGTTCCTGAGCATGACGATCTAAGCAGAAGAGAGAAAGCCATTTACTCTCCTATCACAGGGAATTTGTTAGAGATCACACACCTCAAGTCTTTTTCTTCCCAGCTGGTCCCCAAGGGTGTCTACTGTTAACCACAGGTGAGAGGAGCGCCTCCCTCCGCACCCGTCCTCCCACTGTGAGCTCCCAGGACACCTGCCTGCCTTGGCATTGCCCTGTGGGCTCTTTACCCAACACCTTCACATTGCGGCTTTACAAACTTGGACTGATGCTTGGCTCCAGGGCTAAGCTGCAAGACTGGATGATGGGATGCAAACGATGCTTACAGAAGACAGGATTCGGGATCTTCAGGCTTTATGCACTAAGGTTGCACAAAGACTTCCCAGGGGTCCAGGGGCACAGCTGCTTTTAATGGAATCAAGTTCTAGATCTATAACTGCTATCTGTACCTTTCCAAGTATTCACCTGTCTGAGCCAGCACCAAATAAGATACCACAGATTCTCCTGGACCACCTTCCCTTCCACTTTATGAAATGGTGGCTGATTCTCAATTGAAAAACAAACCAACAAACAAATTACTTAAAAAAAAGAAGAAGAAGAAGTCTACTCGTGCCTAACTTGAACTGATCTTGGTGTACTAGCTGGTATGGAAAAACCACTGAGACTCCAAACTAAGGGACAAATAGAAATACTGGTATAAGAAAGCGTCCTTTAAAGGAGGTACCAAGCTTATTTAGAGGATGTGTTTTCAATTATATTTTCTTCTTATATTTAGTAAGTATATGTGATTTTAAACAACTGTATATTAACACAGTACATTATGATAAATTGTGTACTACTATTAAACAATATAATATATTAGGATAAATTTTGGGAGGAGTATAATGGAAGTCCAATTCCAAGGAGGTCTTAGATTCTTCTTATGATGGAAAAAGCTGCTCCTACACTTACAAGACAATAAGATAGTATGCACAAACATAATAACCTTTCTGGAACTCATCAGAGAGCTGACGGTGCAGGACAACCAGTGCCATACAGTCTGGTAAGAATTCTGCTGACATTCTTAATGAATTGTTCAAGGCTAAGTGTGAGCTAGGTAAAGAGCATAGAAACTGGTGGTAGCTGCACCTATTTACTTCTCCATGGATCTCCCTGGGTGCTCATGGAGAAAGACTGGGGGCAGGACAGCAGGAGACAACCTTTTTGGAAGTTCAGGTTTGGGGGAAAAGATAGCCGACTCTGAGAAAGGCCCCAGGCCCCTCCTGGACTCTTCCCTAACTTTCCTATAACACAAGCCTTAAGTAGCTGGAATCTGGGATAAGAGCAGCAAACCCTGTGGCACCCAGTGAACAGCTTCACCTTTGGGGGCAGTGGGAGGAACCCATCTTGTGTCAGTGCCTCTGAGAGAGCACCCTTTATGCTGGGGGTGAGGTAGGGTCACTGACAAAGTCCTTTCCAAGACCTGTGGACATAGCACCTGCCCAGACTAAGGATGAACCAGGATAATAAAGAAAATCTGTCACCATGCTGGCAGGTTCACTTGTGCAGAGTGACATATATCAGCAGCCTACTGAAGCAGGGAGGATGAGAGCAAGGAGAGGCCTTTGTGGAGCAGGTGCAAAGGGAAGATTCAGGACAGACAGAACCAGCACAAGGTTGAGATAGAGGAAACTGAAGCCCATGGGACACTGAGGATAATCCAGATGACATCATCCAATTCCCTAAGAGATTGATCCCAAAAGAGCAAGCAAAAGCATTTCCAAACATCAACACAATTTGCCTTGGTCTCTGCTGGCCTATTATAGACACCTGACTTCCAACTACAAATTCCAACCCGCAGGAAGGAGAACATCACAGTCGGTGCTGCTTTTCATCTTGAAACCTCAAGTGACTGGGCTCCTTCTGCCAGCCTTCACCCTGCTGGGATGCTCTAGAGTCAAATGGGCTGAATGCAGCACAGAGACAGGCTCAGTAAGCCCCACACTCCCACACAGCTCCCTGCGTCTATCATGCCGCTTAGCATGCCACTGAACCTGATGCTGGGTACGCATGAAACATTGTGGGCCTTTTTTCTTTAAGTTAAAAACCCCTGAATGTGGCTAGGCACAATGGCGCATGCCTGTGATCCCAGTGGGGCTTGGGAGGCTGAGGCAGGAGGATTGCAAGTTCAAAGCCAGCCTAAGCAAAAGTGAGACCACATTTCTAAATAAAATACAAAGTAGGGCTGGGAATGTAGCTCAGTGGTCGAGTGCCCCTGAGTTAAATCTCTGGTACCAAAAAAAAAAAAAGAAAGAAAAGAAAAAAAAAACACTCCCAAAACAAAACAAAAAAACACTGAATATATATATATATTTTCAGGTGAAAAATACTAGAGCTTCATCAGGAATTTCTGGCCACACAACTCTTGCTAAAAGTCCCATGGAGGCAGTTGTTCAAGAGGGCTACAACTAAGGCTGTGTAACTTTTTGTCTGTCCATGTGGATATCTCCAGTGATGGCCTGCACAAAGCCAAGTCCCTACATGCTGCCAGCATGTCAGTGCACATCTTTCTCCAAAGCTCCAGACCCAGGCAAGATGGCATATCTGCCAGATGTCACAAGTGCTGCAAACTCAAGGTACCCCAAACCAAGCTCATGTTCTTCAAGCTCCAGCCATTGCCTCAGCTGCTTGGGCCACAAATCCAGGCCTCGTGCTCTTGTCTATTCCCTGCCCAGGTCCTCCTTTCCTAGGCTGCCCTGTCCCCTCCTGTCTATCTCTGGACCACAGTCATCAACTGCTTCTCATGGACCTCCTTGCCTCCAGCCTTGTTCCCCCAGTTAGACCTCTAAGAGGTTCATGGAAGAAGTGTTTAGAAGGCAGATCTGTATATAGTTCTCCTCTGCTTAAAATCTCTCAGCAGGCTCCCAGCAAACCTCAAGGTCAACTCCAATCTTGTTGGCAAGACCTTGACTAGACTCCAGTTGACCAGTTTCCTTCCTTGGCAACTCTTGCCAACCTCATCTCCAGTTCTGGCCTGCTGAGCGACTTGTAGCTCCTTACTTCTGGGCCTTTATACATTAACTTGGTGCCACACAGCTTCACCCTGCTAACTCTTACTCCTCCTGAATAGCATGGGCCAGGCACTGTTCCTTGAGGAAACTTTTCATGGTTCCTTGAGGCTGGACCAGATGCTCCCCTTTCAGGTCTCTTGTGCCACCCATGGCAGCTCTGTCATTAAACCTCTCACACTGGACTGTCAACATCTTTTTAAAAAAATCATTTATTGAGCACTGGCTATATACCAGCTACATGGCTGAGCATTTTACATGTGACCTACAATAATTATCCTTGCTATGCCTTGGAGATAAGTAGTATCATTAATCCAAGAGACTTTAGTGGCAGATCACAGGCATATTCTTAATAACTATGCAAGGAGGAAAGCCCTCCCTGAGGGCTTGAACCAGAACCTTTCATCATGGTGTCTAGAGCAAAACCATCTTTTTTTTTTTTTTTTTAAATACATGTCTAGGGATTGAACCCAGGGGCACTCTACCACTGCACTATACCCCAGCCCTTTTTTATTTCTTTGAGATAGAGTCTAAGTTGTTGAGGGTCTTGCTACGTTGTGAGGCTGGCCTGGAATTTGTGATCCTCCTGCCTCAGCCTCCTGAATCACTAAGATTTCAGAAGTGTGTCAACATGCCTGGCCACTCTTCCTTTTTTTAAAAAATATTTTTATTGGTTGTTGATGGATTTTTGTTTATTTATTTGTATGTAGTGCTGAGAATCGAACCCAGTGTGTCACACATGCTAGGCAAGCACTCTACCACTGAGCTACAACCGCAGCCCCCAACATCTTTCCTTTTTTATTTTATCATTTTCTTTTCTGTTTATAGTACACTTTTATGTTATGCTTTCTGGGTAATATCACCTTAAATCCTCTTTGGAAGTGGGCTGGGTAATATACTACTAAAATGCAATTGCTATTAACCATTCTAGAAACCTGCAAGATCCATGTTTGACATTTGTACAGTGCCCTTTAGTTTACTGAGGACAATTTCTAATACTATGGCAACTGGATCCTCAACCTTAGTGAGAGAAACAAAGTAGGAATGCTTACTTCTCCTGTACAGAAGCAAAGGTAATGTGCACAGTGAATAACAGAGATGTGATACTCAAACCTAGGTGCTGGGCCATGCCTTCTGCAAGGCCTGTCTTGCACCTGCTCCTCAGAGGGGACCTCTCTCCTTACTTTCATCCTTTCCCTGCAGAAAGAAAGAAGCCTTTCCTGTCACCAATCGTGTATGAGATTTTTAGGCTGTCATGAAGCATCCAAAGTGCCTGCAAATGTAAGGTGCTGCTGGCAGCAATGGCTGGTGGTTTGCTCTTAGCATCAACTCCAGTGTCTTGTCAGGGCTTTCCAGCCCCTGGGTGGGGTGGCTCCTTTTTGCCTGAGTCTTTTCAACCTGTCCCTGATGCGTGGGTGAAGTCAGTCTCACACCCAGGACCCCCAGCACAAGATGTTTCTGCTACTGGAATGTCCCACTCTGTACCTCCTTTTCATCACACATGTCCCATTTGCCCCAGAACCTTCACTCACCCTGCTCAGCATAGACATCTCCTCTGGGAAGCCTTCTCAACTACCCTGCTCGAGTTTTCACGGAACGCTGTGATCATTTCTTCCTGAATTCTCTCTTACCTTGCTTCTTCTATTAGGACTTGGGCAACAGGTTTGAGAAGCTGTGTGATATAGTGAATGGAGGCAGAAGACCTGGGTGCTAGTCTCAGATCTGCCTCAAACTTACTGTGTGACCCTGGGCAAGACACCTTCCCTCTCTTGGCCTATTTCCTTTTCTGTGAAATGGGAAAACTTTCTGTCCTGTCCAAATCAGATGATGGACACAAAGTCCTGTGTGTGTTAATAAGATTTAGAAAAGATTATCTTTAAAATGCAAAGTAGCCCCTCACACCCTTCCTACACAAAACTGCAGGAGCCCGCTCAGCTATCAATAGTCATGTTTCTGGTGACCCAGTAAGGCTCATGTCTACACTCAGCACCTTGCTATTATGTATACACCGCACTGCGTAAGTCAAGTTCCGGAAGATGTTTCCTTCCATTTTGGCTCGGCCGTAGGAGCAGACAAAGACACCTCCCTTCCCGTCCCGGAACAGGCACTTGCGGATGAGGCAGCCCTGCACGGAGCTGGCCAGGGCCATGGCCTCCTTGTCCTTCTGCAGCTCCTGCTGCAGTGAGTGCAGCACCAGGCAGCTAGGCAGCTGAATGGATGCTCCTGGCAGTGGTGGGCCCAGAAAGGAGCCGCCCAGAACGGGGCGCGGGCCTTGCACTTGGTAGGAGAGTCTGTAAGTGAGCTGGTCCTCATCCTCATCCTCACCGCTGGGACTCAGGCCTCCATCGCTGCTGTCTGGCGTCTGGGCCACCCTTTCCCCATCGCTGCCCACCTCTGCCTCCTGGGAGCCAGCCTTGGAATCTGGCTTTGGGGAGCTAGAGGCTGGGCTGGTCGGGCTCTGGCTGCCTTCGATGACAATGTCACAGGTCCTTGGGCTCCAGGCCTGGTCCCGGCTCTCTAGATCCAGGGACATTAAAAAGTCAGAATCCTCTGTGGGGAGCAAGCTGGGAGAGGACTTGATAAGCCCCAGTAAATACTTGTAGGCCCAGTTCTTATCTGCTGATGGGTGACCTTCAACCGTCACAGAGTTGTTTTCGCTGCCCACAAATTCACAGTTTTCCAGAACACACAGGGGCACGTTGTGCAGGAAGACATGGGTGTTTTTGAAGGTGCAAAACTTCACTTGGCAGGTGCCTGGGCCATGAACCTGAATGTGCCCATTCTCAAAGTTGCAGTTGTCAAACTGGACATGACCTGATGTGGTCTGGAGAATGAAAAGGAGAAACCGGTTGTAAGAGGGCTAAGCTTTGCTTTGGTGGTCAGCTCTCCAGGTGCTCTTTAAGAAGAGTAGAGTAAGGAGAGGCCACGTGTTCCATCAGTCATCTCCCCTTCCCTACCAGGGCCTGAGCTGGGGAACTGCTCTGCACCAGACAGGAAGAAAAACTGGGAGCTGCCTGCACTAGTTCCCCTCTGATCCCAAGGAAGGGGGACAGGAGTGGATGATGGCAGAAAAGCTCTCACTTTGCATCATGGCCTTCCTACATGTCTTCAGTGGATTCTCCTAATACTTGTGAAATGCTTAGTGAGAATTCCTCCCTCCCTTCCCTTCCCTTTCTTTTGTAGTGAAAGTTGGAAGGAGGGTAAAAGCTGTATCTGGAGATGTTGGGTGAGATGGAATTGACACGTTAATAAGGGAGATAAAGGGGCTGGGGATGTGGCTCAAGCGGTAGCGCGCTCGCCTGGCATGCGTGTGGCCCGGGTTCGATCCTCAGCACCACATACCAACAAAGATGTTGTGTCCGCCGAGAACTAAAAAATAAATATTAAAAATTAAAAAAAAATAAGGGAGATAAAGCAGGAGAGAGAGGGTCACTCTGTAGAGGATCCAAAATGGTCAGAAGAGCCTTTTTTTTTTTTTTTGAGAAAAAGGTTTATTGCTTTGCTATCAAAGGAGAAACACAAGGGATTCCTGTCCCAAAGGCTGTGATTCTGCCCACACCAGGAATGGGGGGCTTATAAAGAGGTAATTCAAAGGCTACATTCTACCATTCTACCGTGTTCTCTGTTGGAGTTGTAATTCACTTGTTAATTTGGGAGACAGTCATTTCTGAGATCTTCTGATACCATCTCCAAAGTCTGGATTACTTGTTCCTATGGTGGGTGTGTACTCAGGGACAGATAATTCTGCCTAGGATGGGGAAGAAAGGTAATCCTGTTCCCCCTGAGATTAGGGAAAGGGAGAGATTAGAGCTCAGGAGAGCTTTGAAAAAAAAATTTGGGGGGTAGGAGGTGGCACTGTGATTTGAACACAGGGTCTCACACATAAGCAAGTATCCTACCACTAAGCTATACCCTGGTCCTTAGAGGTTTGAATTTTTATAAATATAGGCATTAGCTGGGAACTGAGCAAAACTTTATTAATCCTCCAAAAGGCAGGGGAGTCCCTGATCAGTGACTGGGTTATATGAAGAATGTGTCAAATCATAGGCATTTATCCAGGTCTCATGCTCTCCTTTCATTCCTGCCCTCTCTTGGGCCTGCAGGCAGGTGCCCTTCACCTGACCCTTCTGCCCTGTTGAACATCTGAACTCAAGGCCTCATGGAACACTGATCACTGGTGGAGGAGAGCAGGCAGGAGGGTTGAGCCCTACCTGAGCTGAGACAGGTGGTGGGAAAGGGTGAGTCTGTGCGGTGACTGATGGGGGCACAGCAAGACTGCAGATGGCTTCTCTAGAGAGAGGACCAGGTATGCCACCAGAGCCAGGAAGTCCTGAGCAGTGGTTAAGAGCACAGGCTCTGGAGGGTTGACCATGCAGGACAGCTCCTGGCTCTGCCTTTCTCAAGCATGAACATAGGGCAAATGACTTCACCTCTTTAAGCCTCAGTTACCTTGTCTGCAGCCCAGGGCTTATTAGTTAATAAAGCATAAAGCACAGTGCCAGGTGCAAAGCTGGGAATAAAAGTTACTATTATTGTCTGGAGTCAGGAACACAAGGAACAGAGAGCCCTCAGGAGTCTGGGGTGGGGAGGGGAAGCCCTGAACCCACAGCATAATTCATCTGGGCCTCTTGGCTCCAGGCCTGACTGAGAGGCAAGCTTGGCAAGACCCAGTTGCTTTATATTTCTGGGGGTGGGGGGACCTGTTTCTGGATCTCAAATACTATCAGATGCCATAAAATGAAGGAGGGGGTGTCTCATGATTCCATTTAACAGTCCAGCCACACCTATCCCTTGAACAATCTTTAAAATTCTCTAGCAGTGGCTTTCCTTGAAAGCTTGTCCCAGAGCTGAAGTCCCCTTAACCTCTCCAAGTCCTTCCTTACAGCTAACTTATTTTTTTCTAGCTGCAATTTAAGTCCATCTTGTCTTCCTTGATCCTTTCTAAGGATAAAGGCCAGTGCTCTGGAGATGCAGAGCCACTGCTAGGGTCCTCGGGATTCACTACAAACTGCTGAGAATCGTCCTGGTCTTTGCATTTTTTAGGAAAGGCCATTTCAGGCCACTGTGCCTCTTTTATGCAAAATACTATCATGGACTGAGCACTAATACACGCCAAGCACTAAGCCAAATGGTGGGCCACCCAGAGGCCCAAGGCCAGGCTCTTTCCCTTGAAGGCCTATGGCTACACTGCTGAGGGGGAAGCAGAGACTGAAATTAACATGTTCTTCAAATAATTTATATATTATGAAAATGAGGGGTTGGAATATTGTTTCTAGACAATGTCCCCTTTCCATGTCTGTGGACCAGCACACGGGAAACATATCAGACCTCAGAGGACTGTGTGTATAGGAATAACTATTGAACTCTCAATTCTAACAATTCTAACAGTCCTTTTAAAACATTCTACAATCAAAAAAGCAGGATTTTAAGCTTTCAAGGAATCCAACATGATGTGATTTTATAAGTGCTTATATCAGGAGGCCCAAATTTGAGCTCTAACCTCACTAACTAACCACCTGAGAAAGTTACTTAGCATCTTTAACCTCTAGTACCCTTCATCTACAAAACGGGGACACCACATCTACTCTATCTGCCACAGTGTTTGTTGAGGGGATCAAGTGAGGCCATGGATGGAAAGTCACCTAGATTATAAATACGGGTTTTGGATCCTAGCTGTCCCTACTGTGACCCTGGGTATATCACTGAATCTTGTTGAGCCTCAACTTCCTTATCTATAAAATCAGATGTCACTACCCATCCTATCAGACTATAGGGAAAGTAAGTGAGATCATGGCTGTAAAGCCCATACTGAGTGCACATCAAGTGCTTCCTAAATGGCTGGTGGTATAATGACCATTACAAATGCAAGAGACAAGCTACTAATGGTAGTAATAGGGGAAATATAATTTTTACCAAATAGGTACATAATCCAAATATTGCAGAAGGTAGGCAAGATATAAGCTGTAGACTGTTGTGCCAGGAACTACCAACGCCTTCATACATGTTTGCTCTAAACACATCTGTGTGTTCATGGAAGGAATGTGTTGGAATAACATTTCCTGATCCCTTCTCCAGTCACCCTTGAGAAGTAGCCACTCCTGGTAAAAGCCTGACTTTCCTTGACCTGCATGGGGCAGGGTGTTCATGTGTTGAGATTTTCTGCCCCTGCATGACCTTCTCTCTGGCTCATCCGCTGCCATGAACAGCTAGCTAATGAGTTCTCTGCTTCCTCTCACCACGTTACAGCCTGGCTTGCCCACCAGACTACTCAACCAGTAGCTCCAGAGAATCTAGTTGGAAAGGGAACAGCAGTTTTGACCCCAAAGCCAAGGCTCATTTTCTAATATAGCTTTGATGGGGATAAAACTGTGCTCATTTCTCAATGGGTTCAGACCTCAGAGGACTGTGTGTATAGGAATAGCTATTGAACTCTCGATTCCAACAAAAATTGAGAAGAGGCCATGATCCTGGGTTCAGGGCTGGATGACATCTACTGGATGTGACACCCACCTTATACATGATGGGTGAGAACCAAGCTGGCATGAAGATGAGGTTGCACAGGCGTGTGGTTGAGCAGTGCTGATCAATGCTGGCTAGCAGGGCCACCTCACCCAACTTGCCATGGCCTACAATCTCCACAGGCACCTTCAGGATGATTTCACCTTGCTCTTCGTACACACCTGGAAACAGCACAATTCGGTCATACAGGCTGGCCATGGCCAAGGCGCTGCCCAGACTGTCAAACTCATGGCCTGGCCCGACACTTAGGGTACGTCGTTCCCTCCTCCTGCGGAATAGAGAAAAGCAGACAGAGGACTCCAAGTCCAGGGCGTTCTTGGTCCATGTCTTGGAGGCAAGGTAATGCTGCTTGAAGGCCTCCCGCCAAGACTCGGGCTCCACGTCAGGCTGGTTGGGCCAGTTGGGATGGCGGCACTCTGTACAGCCTAGGCACAGCTGCCGCCAGCGAGTACTGTCAAGACTGAGGATCAGTTCATACCAGGCCCTGCACACCAGGCTGCAGCGGCCCAGATCAGGAAGGTGCAAGTAGGCTAAGATCATGCGCCACAGCTCCAGGGGCAGGCCTCCAGCCTCCATGGTCACCTGGAGAAAGACACAAAAGAGAAAAGGCTTTTGTCTACCCTGTTTACCTTTCCCCTTCGTAACATACCCCACATCTCCCTAGGGATGAGTGAGTGAACAAGGCCCAGCCAGTCAAAGGACCCTATTCCTGCGATCAGAATCCTTCTCTGACCAAGTGTTAGAAGGAAGACTCTTTTCTCGGGCTGGGGATGTGGCTCAAGTGGTAGTGTGCTCGCCTGGCATGCGTGCGGCCCGGGTTCGATCCTCAGCACCACATACAAAGATGTTGTGTCCGCCGATAACTAAAAAATAAATATTAAAATTTTTTTAAAAAGACTCTTTTCTCTTTGGTCAGACACTTTAAAGCTATGATTCCAGAACTGCTGGCAGCTAGGTACCCCTCTCCATGGAGAAAACCTTGTGGAATGAGAGCGAAGCAGAAAAGAATAGAGATGGAGGATGAAAAGTGAAAATGAGTATGAAAAAAGGTGAATACACTTGTATGTGTCTGGTGGTGCGGAGTATAGATTCCTAAAGATGCCCTCACATCTACGGTTCTTCCTTCAATCTAGTGAGGGGCTCCAGTGGCCTTCCATAAATCCCCTTTATGCAAAAACTAGTTTGATTTGGGTTTCTGTGACTTGTAACTGAAAGGGTTTGGATTCATAAAGAGGGAACCTACCTTTGGCTCTGATGGTCCTATGGGAGTGGATCCCTTAGGTTTCCTGGAAAGAGATCACTATCTCTTCATTACTAGTAGGAAGAAGAATGGAGTCAGTCTGTCTCTCCTCATTCCCAGATCAAATCACTGCTACTGTTTTCATGTGGGGCAGCCCCTGGAAAGCCTGCGTGGGTTTTGGTCCTGGCTCAGTCTCTGGTTACTGATGTAATACTAATGTCCTAAACATTTAGTAGGCTGGCTGCCCAGCCATCTGCCTCCTTGCTTTGGAAAATATCCTTACTCTGGAAAATATCCTTCTCTCTTACTGATTTATACCACACAGTTACAGAGGCTTCCTGAAGATGTGTGTATAGAAAAATGATACCCCAACTCCTAAGCTGCAACTGATTGGCTGCAATTGATCCAAATGGCTCTTCGAGACCCCCAAGAGAATATGAGGTGCTATTCTAAAATCAGGGTAGTTTCCTTCCTGAGTGATGGGAAATGGACGCCTTCTTTCCTAAGCTATAAACTCAGGAATAGGCTGAGCTTGGTGGCGCACACTTGTGTAATCCCAGAGACTCAGGAGGCTGAAGGCAGAAGGATTGCGAGTTCCAGGCCAGCTCTGGCAACTTAGTGAGACCTTGTTAAGACAATCCCCAATTCTGCCAAAAGTAATAAATACACAATATTTAAATAAATACAAACTCACTCAGAGACAGTTGCTGGTGATCATTTTTCCCTGAGATGGGAGGCAGAAGTGGGTCTATAATGAGAGAAGAATGAATCAGAGACACAGAAAAAAGCCGAGAAAAGAGCAGAAGCTTCCCGTTTCTCTGGGGCAGGCCTCGCCTCAGTCCTCTCCCCAGAGCTCAGCTTTATCCTTGCCCTTTGAATGCCATCGGGTCTCTTTGCTCTTATAATAGATTCTCCTTTTGGCAAAGCTGACCTCATTGAATTTCTGTTCTTGAACCTCAAGCCCTCTTGTTTATTTTTATTTTCTTTGTGGTGCTAGGGATCACACTTGGCCTGACATGCTAGGCAAGCACTCTATCTCTGAGCCACACCCCAGGTCCCTCTCACTTATGTGTCAACTTGCCTATCTGAAAACCAAAAGGGTGGAGGAGATAGATGACCTAGAGAACTTGCTAGCCTGTCTCTACACAACTGGAAATAAGAACTAGAACAGGGCAGGCTCCACGACTGACCTTCTGTCAAACGGCTTTCCTCCCCAGGGCCCTGCTTTTCCTCTCAGTTTTCTGAAAATGGTGCTCATACTTATCAGGTCTCTAACTCCAATAAGGTTAGAAGCACAAACGTGTGATCACATCTGGAAGAAATGCTCAGCTTCCTCAAGCCTGGTGTGGCTTGAACTCTACAGGTTAGTACTAGAGCCTGGGCACGGAGGCTCCTCTGTCATGGTCACTTTTTACCAGGTCCTCAGCAGCACTGGAGAAAAGCTGGGCTTTGGACTGTTACACTTCATAGAGAAAGATCATTCCCCTAGATAAACACCACTTTACTCATGGTGGTTCTGTGATATTGATATCTCCTGTCCCTCACTTCTTTCTTTAGCTGTATTGTCTTGGTCATTTTAAGAGAAAAACATTCTTTTATCCATTTCTGCATCAATTCTGTAGCTGAGTGATCATATCCATCTCCTTAGCTTCCACTACCACTGTACATGTATGACTACAAAATCTGAATTTCCAACCCCAGATGTCTCTTTCGAGTTCCTTAGGGGAATGCACAATTTCCTTTTGGGCATTTCTACTTGGCTATTCCAGAGATTAAAAACAAATAAATAAATAAAATACAAGGGAAAAAAAATCAACGTTATGTCCAAAACTGAACTCTGACTTCCATGTTGGGTTATGACAAAATAGTTGGAACTGGAGTCCCCCTCTGCCATAAACAATTATAAAGCTGGATAAAATATATGAGGCAACTGAATATATACTCAGGCACTGGGCAATGAGCTGCTCAGGACCATGATTTTTGAGAAAAAGAGAAGGTGGGAGGTGAGTGCCACAAAGGCCTTTTTATCCAGGGCACTTTCTTACTGTGGTGGGGAGAGATGGAGGCCGAGCAGAGTGGTGGTCTCACTGAGCGGCAGATTTGAGTTCTGAGCTGCTGAAGAGGCTGGTGTTTGCAAGGCAAGGTACCAGACCAGAGAGAACAGCACAGCCGGGCTGCACATGTGCAGGCCAAGACTGCATGAGCCCTAGTGGAGACAGCCTGCTATGGGGTTGAGAACCCAAAGGTGAACCTTAGAGATCATGCAGAGCTGGGAGACAATGGAATTCTAGCCCAGACAATGTGGAGAATTCATTTCGAGTCTCAGGAAGAATTGACCATATTCTAATTCAAATCTGAAGAATAAAAGCAGGCCTGCTGGGGATGTAGCTCAGTGGCAGAGCACTTGCCTGGCATGGATGAGGTCCTGAGTTCAATCCTTAGCACTGCCAAACCAACCAACCAACAAATGTGCAAAACCAACCAACAAATGGATACAATGACAACAAATATAATTACTCCTTCTCCTATCAAGACAACAGCAACAAAAACTATTAAAAAAAAAGTCAGCCTGACATATTAAAAGGTTCTGCCATTGATTTCACCATCTGTAGAATGAAACTGAATGAACACTCTTTGAAAAAAAGAGAAGAAAATCTAGACACCTTCAACCCAACAGCCAGAAGATATACTTGAGTATGGTCTAGAAAAACAGAGTTCCAAGTAGAGCCACACATGTATCAGTCAACTGAGTTGGAAAAGGGTCAATGTAATTCAAGGGTGAAAAGCCTTTCAATAAAAAGCTCAATATTCACAGATAACAATTTGATATCTATATGGGAAAAAAATGAACCTTGGCACATACTTTAGACTATACAAAAACCAACTCATGATGGGTTGTAGACCTAAACATTAAAGTTTGTAAAACTTCTAGAAAAAAACATGAGAAAATAAAATTTTTAACCCCGGGTAAAGAAAAACTAATAAACCAGTCTATCAAAATTAAAATTTTCTGTTCATCAAAAAATACAATTAAGAACAAGAAAAGACAAGAGAGAAAATGGGAGCAGATATTTGCAATACACATATGGGACAAAGGGCTTGTATCCAGAATGTTAAGAAATCGCGCACTCAGTAACCAAAAAGTTCGATTAAAAAATAGGCAAAAGATCTGAACAAAAGTTTCACAAAAGAAAAATAAGCAGCCAATAAATTCATGAAGTTAAAAAGCATAGTATTCACTGTAGGTTGAGCATCCCTTATGCGAAATGCTTGGGGCCAGAAATGGTTCAGATTTTGGAATAGTTGCATACACTAATGAAGTATCTTGGAGATGGGCTCCAAGTTTAAACATGAATTTATTTATGTTTCATGTCTTAGAATCTGAAAATAATTTATGTAATATTTTAAGTAATTTTATGCATGAAACAAAGTTTTGTGTTCTGGAATTTGACTTGTGGCATCATGTTAGCATTCAAAATTTTGGATTTTTAGATTGGGGAGCTCAGACTGTAAAACCATAATGAAATGCCACTTTGTATGCACTAAAATGGCTAAAATTAAAAGTACCCAAAGCATCGAATTAGCATAGATGTGAAGCAGCCAGACAGACCTCTCCAACATCACTAGTAGGAGTATAAATTACTAGCATCAATTCAGAAAACTAGCACTTTCTTCTACAGTTAAAGGAATTCCATTCCTAGATATTTACACACAAAAAATTAAAGCACATATATCCAAAAAAATCCCATCCAAGAATGCTTACAGCAGCTTCAATTACAATAATAAAACAAACAAATAAAAAAAACTGGAAACAACCCAAATGTCCACCAACATAATCCTGGATAAATAAATTGTGATGTATTCATGACAATACTATTCAGTGATAAAAAGGAATGAACTACCGATGTAGGCAATAACGTGGATGGTGTCAAAAACACATCAGGAGCAAAAAAAAAAAAAAAAAAAAAAAAGCCATTCACAAAAGACTTAAGTATTCATGTTATAATTCCATTTAGGTGAAGTTTAAAAAACAGACCTAACTAATCTATGGTGATAAAAATCGGAACATTGCTTGCCATAGGGTCTTGAAGACAACTTTGGAAGTGAAGGAAATGTTTTATATCTTGATTGGTATATTGGTTACATGGGTGCATATGTTTGAAAAAACCCTCACTGGATAGAATGTTTCAAAATGTGCAATCCATTGTATGTGAACTTCATATCAGTTTTATTTTTTTGGTACTGGGGATGCTTAACCACTGAGCTATATTCCCAGCCCGTTTTTTCCTATTCTTTTTTTTTTAAATATTTATTTTTTAGGTGTAGATGGACACAACACATG